CCTCCCTTCCTCCCTCCCTCCCTCCCTCTTTCTTTCTTTCTTTCTTTCTTTCTTTCTTTCTTTCTTTCTTTCTTTCTTTCTTTCTTTCTTTCTTTCTTTCTTTCTTTCTTTCTTTCCTGTCTCTGAGTTTTATTTTCTCCCACATGGGGTAGCAGACTCAACCACCGTGCCAGCCCATGAGTGCTCTCAGCACCTCCCTCCCCTTCCCGGTCAGCCAGCAGTGCGAGTTTCTAGTCACTTTACCACTATAACCCTCAGTTTCCTCTATAAAACAGTCTGGGTGTGACTAGAGGGTCGCGGGGCAGGGAAGCAGGGTGCGGGAGGTGACTTCTTTCTAAACCCTGGCGCTCGGGGCTCCTATTGTCCCTCTTTAGGGTGCAGGGCAAAGGGCCTAAAGGAGCGGGACCAGTCCTGGAGAATTCAAGGCTGAGTTGCCTGTCCCTAGGTCCACGCCGCCCAGGCCAGCCTCTCCCATGATTTCCATGTGCTTCGCTGTTCTGCAGGAAGTTCGGCCTCCTGACCCAACAGAGGGGCTGGGGCGAGGCCTCCCAAGACCTTCCTAGGGTTACCTGGGAAGTCCAGTGCAGCTGTCCGAGCTGTCCCCTGTCTTCTGGGTTCCTAGTTGTCAGGAATTCGCACGGCCAGCCCGACCTGTTCCACTGTCCCCGCCCTCCACCCCGCTGCGCGTCCGGTCCAGCTCCAGCAGCACCCCCCTCCGAGAGTTCCACTATCTACCCTGGTTTGTGGGGTCCCAGCCCAGAAAAGCAACACGCGGCTGCCACTGTCTGAAGCCTAGGTGGCGAAGGCGGGGCCACTGCTGACAGTGTGGAGCGGTGCTTCCTGTGCCCTCCCTCCACTGGTCCTTCCTGGGCCCTTGCTCAAGGAGCTAGGCAGTTCTGTCTCCAGAGCCCCTCATGGCACTATAAAAGACTGGCTTTCCTCTGGGCTTTATGGACCCACGGGAGAGAACGCATTCACCGCTGAAAAACCAGCTCCAGCTGCTCAGTCTGCACATAGAAACAGAAAAAGATTTTGCTCTCGATGCTTGTCGGACCTTTCTTATGTATTGGAAGTGGGCTAGAATACTTGCATTATTAAAGCCCCTGCAACACATGCTTTTTTTTTTTTATCAAAGTACCCTGTAACTCTTTGAAGGCTTCCAGGCTAAAGGATTCCCCCCTCAACCTGGTCCATAAGGTCCCCTGCACTTTCCCAAGCCATATTCATCTTCCAGCTCCACCTTGGGGAACCTCAGTTCAGCACGTTGCAAACACCAGAGACCTCTGTCCTTGCTCAGAATCTGCCTCCTCTTCCTTCTCTTCCCGTTGGAACCCTACTCATCTAAGGGTCCCTGAAATGTCAGCCTGGGAACCCTTCCCCAGACACTACCTACCAGCAGAAGGCCTAGTCCTTTCTGGGTGTTCTCCTCTGGTAAGTTTATATTAGTACCCCTGTCCTACATACATATAAGCACACTCTAATCCCAGATCAGAAATAGACAGAAACCCACACTATTGGCTCAAATTACCACAGTCCATCCTTTCTCCTCGCTGCCAGGCAGCGACTAGCTCACCATCTCCTGTTTCAGGAGTTTCAGAAGTGACCAGTGTCCTCTCACCCCTTCCTTTGCCTTCCCTGGAGTTCCCTTCACTGTGTTCTGGCTTTCCCTTCCGTGTTCTGGAGTATGCCTGCGTGTGTTGGCCCCTAGTGTTGGGATGGGACAATATGACACTTGAGCTTGAGGGCTGGCTAGAAAACCTGGGCCTCTAGGTTGTGCCAAAGATAACTTGCCCTTCTTTATCAGCTACATCTAGAACAGAGGCCCTTCCTACACCAGAGCCCAAGGCAAGAAGAGACTGGAGAACTCATCTAACACAAAGCCATCTCATTCCCATTCTATAGAGAAGAAAACTGAGGCCAGAGACATCAACTTAGAGGCACCTAAGGTCATGGGCATGGTCATCCTGCGATTATCACCTCTGACTTTGCAGGCTTGGGTTGCCTTCCACACCTACAGCCATCCCACAGAATGACAGGATGGCAGTCATTCGCCTCTCACAGTTTCTCCAGATATTCATCGGTTAGGACACCAGCAGTCAAGAGCACAGACCTAAGCTCACAGATGTGAGCTCCATCTTGGCAACTACAGCCTTGGCAAGTTGTCGAGCCTCTTGTCAGTGGATGGCTAACAGTTTCTGCATCATGGACACTCTAACCTTATACCTAAGGTTCAGGGAACATCACAGAAGGGAAGGGGGGTTGGGAGAAGCAGAGAACCAGGGTGTGTGCCGCAAGATAGTGTCTTCTGTACATGACAGGGATCTGTACCCTTAACAGCATGGTCCCCCAAACAAGACTGCACAATGGCATCAGTTGACATCCTAACATGGATGTAGGAATTCTCACAAGGCCCTCCCCCTAGGTACAGAGCTACAGGCAACTAATGGGAAAATGATGAGTCTTCTTGAAGGTCAAGCTCCCTGATAGGTTATCCAACACCAAGTGGTCAGCCCTAAGCACATGAACATGTAAACAACACTAACTGACTCTGCACGCTGTATTTATATGAACATTGTGTGTATGGACATGTGCATATGTACAATAATGATCAAAGAGGAGGGGGTCAGAGTTGAGAGGGAGTTGGGGGACATGAGAGGAGTCAGAGGAGGGAGCGTGAGAGTTGGAGATGATATATAGTCCTCACGTACAAAATCCTAAAAATGAAAACAAAGCGAATACGAGAGGGGGTGTTTTAGGATCCTCACAAATGTGCCTTTTAAGAGGGTTTAGAACAGTAGCTGGGGTGTAAGAAAATGACCAGGTCTCCCTTCTTACCAATTACTTTGATCCCTGTCAGGCCTCACAGCCCAGGTGGAATAACAGGCTAGGACTGGCTGGGACTAGTCGCTGCCATCTAGGACTCCCAGATCATGTTCACCTTCTCTACCAATTAAGAAACTAACAGTCAAAAAAAAAAAAAAAGATTCCTGGGGGTTCCCAGCAGAGTCATCACGCAACCCAGGGGATTTGGAGTCCCTTCTTAGGGTCTTAGTTTCATCGCTAAGAGAACTCATAAGTGACGTAAACAGAAACCTGAGGACGGTTTATCACAGGGCAGTAGAAAGACTCCAGGGCAGGCAAACTGTAAACGTTACAGCTTCCCAGAGGAAGGAAATAGAGAAGGTAGCTGCCATAGCGGTCAGCTCCATGGGAGCAGAAAGTCCCCGGCAGGGCGGGGGCGGCTTTAGAAGAAAGAGCAAACGACCCAAAGCATTAACTGAGTTAAAAGCAGCCTCAGGCTGTGCCAGCATCTGAAGGAAAAACACAGAAGAGAAGAAAAAGAAATAATTGATCCTTGAAAGGTAGGCTGACCCAGCCAAATGAACTTCAAGCCTGCTTAGCTGGTAAGGACTTCTCTGGGGGATGGGAATTCTGGGAAGGAAAAATACATTATCTTATGGCGAACCCACTTCCTATGTATGGTCTCCTAAACAGGTCCCTGACTTGTCCCATCGCATTAGCCTTTAAGGGAGTTGACCTGAGGTGTGTGGCCACCTAAAAGCAGATTACATTCTTTACAGACAGTAGGGAACTGCTCTCTCCCAATCCCACATGCTCCTGTCTCTGACATCCTGTCCCCATGGTCCTGTGTCTAATGACACTTCATCTGTCTAATGACATTCTGTTCAATGACAGAAAAATGGCTGCGACTTGGGGATGCTGGTCCATCCCAGCTCATGGCCAATACAGGACAAAACACTATCTGTGCCTTCACGATGGTGCCTATAGTTTTCAGACACCATTCCTTCGTAGAACTGCCTAGAACCAGCCTGAGGATGCGCTGAGGGTCAGCTAAGGTCAGCTGCTGCACTGCAGACTCTTCCCACAGCCGAGAAGAGATAGAGGGAAAATGGATCTTCTGTATATGGATAGGAAACTGAGGCACAGCAGGGTTGACCCTGAGCTGTGTGTCCAGCCTTGAGCAAGGTAAGATCCCTGAATCCTCGTTCTCCACGATGATATGGCCTTCATGACCCAACCCTTTTTATTGACTGGGCATCTACTAGGTGGCAAATAAGGCCTAAGCAAGGCCAGCTTTATTGGAACGTGACCTATGGACGCATATGTAGAGCCTGTAATTAGAAGGACTTGATGCTAGGTTTAATTCTCTGTCATCACATTCTTGGATGATCTTAATTGTTTTTGAACAGGCCCTGACTCTTATTCCACACTGGGCCACGCAAATTAGACAGCTAGGTCTTCTCCTTAGGACCACTTGGCATCACAGAAGTCTGCCACAGGACTGACCAGGGCAGTGTGACCAGGTGTGGCAGAGATCATGGAGGGACAGGGGGTGTGGAATAAGGAGAGGGACTTAGCCATGTAAGACTTACCCAGGCAATGCTATCCAGCTACATAACCTCCCCAGATGCTAGCCAGCCACCTATACTCCCTCTGTGTTAGGAGGAAAGCCTGAGTTCTGGTGCAGGGGTAGACTATAGCCCTAAACAGCAGTTACAATCCCAACAGCCTTGTAGCCCACTACCAGGTCTTGGCAACAATAGGAATACCCAGAAAATCTGTACTCTTGAAGTTCTACTTTTTCTGTGTGTTTCTTACCCAGACTTCCTTACTCCTCCAAACTCCTGTTGGCCTTTTGTTGTCTCTGCCTACCCAACCCAGGCCAACCTCAGAAAAAGGACAGAGAAAGTCATCCATGCTGAAAAGCCAATGGCAGACAAAAATCAGTGGGCTATTCATCCAAAGGACACGTGGGTGTTTGGGGAATGGATTTGCATCCTGCTGGCCTCCATGCATGACATCTAGCAGGCATTTGAGACACGACGGTTAAGTGAGTGCGGAACGGGTAAATGCACATGGCAAGTCCTGGGAGTCTGAAGGTCAGCTAAGAATAGAAGCTTTGTTATTTGTGGTGGTGTCTTCACGTTTGTTCCATGGGGTGCAGGAAGACGAAAACCATGGAGAGGCTCTCAGATGTTCACAGGCCAAGGTTTAGGGATCTGGTGCAGCAAGAAGGGATGGAGAGGGAGCAAAAGTCCATGACCCAAGTTCACGAAGAGGCAAAAAGGACCAGAGAGCACAGCTGAGGTGGGGAGCCCTAGAGTCTCAGGAATTGGGTGGAAAATGCTGATGGATAAGCAGAGAGAACCAGGTAGATGGAAGTTCTGAACAGTGACTCCTGTCTTCTCTGGGATACAGGAAACCAGGCAATAGGAAGGGGCTCTGTGTGGATCATCAGAGTAAGTGACATTTAGACCCTTGTAGTATATGCTCTTTCCCCTCTGGAGCTTGGAAAGGTGTGTCTGCTGTTTTTGTTGTTGCTATATCAAAATACCTAAGGCTGGGTGCATTGTCCTGAAAAGAGGCTTATTGGTTTACAGGGTTAGAGGTCCAAGAACCTGCTTAGCTCTGTGAGCCCCACCCCCACCCCCACCCCGACTACAAAGCAATATGGCAGAAGGCATGGCAATGAAAGCATCTGTCTAGGAAACAAGCTGTGCTCTGGTGTGAGAACTATTCTCACTTCTTCAGCAGAGGCTCTCCCAGTGGGCGACCTAACACCCTTTCACTAGGCTGGCTCGGAAAGGTTTCACAGTCTCTCAGCATCACTACACAGGATCAACCTTCTAGCACATGAGCCTTCAGAGACACAACTGAACCATGTCCAAACCGCAGTGGGGCTACTCTATGGGAGGAGGAAGATCGATGGTGTGTGTGGGCTTGAAAGGCATA